GGGCTTATTTGAATAAAAATAATTGTTTAGTAACAGAGGTTAAAGTTCTTGAGGTGAACATGGATATACGGACTGGCTGTCATCATATTCCTGCAATCAAAACCAGTTACACTTCAAGGGCAGCTCGCCCATTCCTGGCTCAGCCCACTGAACTGAACCAAACAGAACACAGACGATTTGTTTGGTAAAAAGAGTTACTCGTATTCAGAAAAAATTTCATCGAGGACTAAGCCGTTCATTGTTCAATCGCTTAAGGATAAATTGCCTCACCAGTCCCAATCTTTTGTTCTATATTGATTCACATGCACTTGTAGTGCTCGGTATATCGGACACACAACGAGGCACCTGTCCAAGAGAATGTCCGAACATTGTCCAGCCACTCTTCGAAAAGGAACAGTGAGAAGCATGAACAGCTCAATCCTGCAACATTTGGTCGACTGTGGACACAGGATTGACACAGAAACAGCATTTTCAAGTTTCTTCACTGCACCCAAGAAACAAACCAAAGGATTACGTAAGAAGATCCTAACAACTACGGAATCTATAGCTATTAAGATCCTGAAGCCGGAGTTGTGCAAGCAACGTAATCTGGTTCAAGCTCTGCTCTTACCATGGTCATAAGAACAATTGCCCATATCTCTATGTGAAAATTTCTGTTCCCTCCCTCCTCCACTTCTCATTTACTATCTTTTTCGCACACTTTCACACCTGTTTTATTCACTCTTGACTAATACCTTTCATATCGTGTCTAATTCACACATTTTCTTGTCCAACTTTCCCCTATCCAATTATCGTGACCCCACAGCCTGTTGTCAACCAAACATTTTGCACACGGACATTTGTTCATCATCATCCAAGGCCTTGCATTATTCTACTGACTAATCGAATTATATATGTAAATGCCTGAAGCGATATATCAAAAAGAAACTTCTTCGCGTTTCAACTTTGTTCTTATGCATCGATGGGAATATTTTACAATTTGAGGAGTTTGCCGATCTTCAACTAGAGGACCCCAACCACTGAATCTGCCAGTGTCTTGTTGGTAAACCTTTTTGCCTGTGTTTACAGGTTCGTCAAATTAGACCGTTAAAAGTTAGGCAGTCAGTGGTTTCTTCTTCTGCTAATCAGTGCACAGTGCCGACGTTTTGTGCTACTGCCCCATTATTTGTCATGGGTTGCTCAAAAGGACTCATAGTTAAGTAATTACCAGTCGCCTATCTACTCTTCCTATAGAACCGATAGTAAACAAATTTTGTTATCTGGGCAGCTAAATCTCACCTAATGGACGCATCACAGATGAAGTGCCGGCGCGCATACAAAATGCTCGGTTGATAAAGTAAAGTTGGCATTTATCAACTTGAGACATCTGTGGCGCCGTCGTGACATCCGGCTGTGTGTGAAGGGTTGAGTATGTAATGAAGCAGTTCGGCCAGTCCTGTTCTACGGTGCAGGACTTGACCACTACGGAAAAAGGATGAAAACAAACCGTCCGTGTTCGAACACCGCTGTCTACGTCGCATTATACGAGTCTGGTGGGGTAACCGGACGAGCAATGTTGAGGTTAAGCGCTGAGATTTAGGTAATTCCGGGCGTACACTGGAGCAAGCAGTCGACCTCCATAGATTACGTTGGTTGGGGCATGTGTTACGCATGTCACCAAACAGGCGTGCGATTATTGGAAGAGTGCTTACAGCCAGCTTACACATTCACAAGCACACACCCACATAGGACTGAGTATATTATGATCGCGTTTGCATGTATTTTCTGATTCTGTACAGCAGTGAAGGAAGAGGGGTTTCATGTAAAATGGGTGTTCAATGGACAGTGCAAAATCGCGCGAGGTGATGAAAAGGTTCGAATAGGGTGTGGTGGTGGCTGGGAGCGGGTGCATTCTTGGGGCCAAATGATTCTGGATAGAAAGACAACAATTGAAAACAGAGCGCGATACGATTGCATAGGGACAGTCCGGGAATGGACTGCGAGGGTGGGGTGCGGAACAGAGACACCAAAATAAGGTCGCAGCAGTAACATTTTATGGGAAAATGGTAGAGCGAGAGAGAGAGAGAAATAATGGGTCAGAATGTTCATAACTAGTTCAACATCGCATACGGTGTTTCTCAAAAGTGAGTATTTTATTTGGTCCATTGAAGACCAATTCGAAAGAATCCCATCACACTGTCCACCTGAGCCAATATAATAATAATAATAATAATAGTAATCCATTTTGTTTCCACCAAATCATCTCTGAGGCTCATGTTCAGAGAAAACTGGCTTAGATTTTGGTCAGTATGCACATGAATTTTAAGAGGTGTTCTGAAGAGAGCAAGTGGGAGAAAAGGAGTAGAAATAGGGATGGGGTTGCTTCACTAAACTACAGTTTTAAGTTCAGAGAAAGGAATATGGTCATCTGTGAGTGCTTCGGGAGCATACAACGATCATCTCCATTTGGGATTTGGAGGCACAACAGAAGGGAGTAAGAATTTCGATTGCGCAACAAAAAAGTATCTACTAGATCAAGTTTCAGACTCACACGGACACGAATGAAGAGGAAGAGAGAGAGAGAGAGAGAGAGAGAGAGAGAGCGATAGTGCGAGCGGACGAATGACGTGGGACAGTCAAAATCAGACACAAATAGACAGGCTCACGCTCTGAGACAGACCAACCAGATGAGATTGGCCACACAAGCACTAGATTGTCCATGTCGATCTCTCTTCAGTTCAGCGCTCATCGCTACAAATTTGTTAACATGCATGTATTGCGGTTTGACGATCGATTTGCTGGATGTGAGCTTTCGAAAAGTAGGAATAAAATGTGGACACGACTGAAAAGGGAGGGGGATAGAAAGAACAGAAAAATAAATGTGGCAAGAGACTGCTGATTTTGGAGGAACAAAAAATAGGTCCAATAATCGGTCAGGTATCTCGTTTTTATGTATATGTCATCGATACCTCTATGATCCTAGCAATGAGGGCTCAAAAATACAACAAACAAACGCACGTGTGCGAACTCAAAACAGGAGTTAGCTAATTGGAGTTCGAGATTNAAAGGAACAGGAACAGGAGCAGGAGGAGGAGGAGGAGGAGGAGAAAGACACGAGGATACAGATGGAAAAGTTTGGATGTTTGAATTAACCGAACAGAGACGAAACATGATAGAACAGTTGAAGCATCTGCGACTTTATTGTTAAGGGTGGTTTTCAAATGAGGTGAAATGAGAGATGATTGAATGGGAGAAAAAGTCCCATTAGGATCTGAGTGATGATTTTTTATGCAGAAAGTTAAGGATGTGAAGTGAAGTGGAGTGGAGTGGGATGATTGAATGGATCGAGGTGTGTGTACGAGTATGTAGACATGAATGGGTTTGCTGTAGGATTGAACAATTCGAATGATGGAAGTAGCCTGCTGGCTAAAGTTAGGGTAGTAGCAGTGACAGTAATAGTAATAGAGGTATAATGCTTAATGCATAGACAGTCTTACACACACAGCGACACACATTCGTACACGCACGCACACAAACACAAACACGAAGGTAAAATAAGCGGTCCAGACGGTTGGGGATTAACAAGCACCTGAGTGTTCCGAAGTGTGTTCATGTATCTGGGGTACGTGCGAAAACACACATACACAGTAACCACACGCGATTGAGCGGATTACATCTTATCGGCATTTTCACTTCCGAAATGACGAACGTTTTCTTTTGTTTGTGGCTGTGTATTTGTATATCGGTTGTGTATACGTTGTGCAGGAACGGTGTTTTAGCATAGGAGATGGACGAGTATTGAAGAGGAGATTTGTGCTCGCTGTTGGATTGATTGCATACAACACAAGGCACACATACGTAAACACATGCACACAGGGCATGTGAAGCCCCTTGTAAACGGTGTCACTCAGAAATCGGCGTCCCAACCGGATAGTTCATCCGGGGGATTTTCCAATTTCTCCGGGTATTTGTCAAAATTGGACACATCCTCCGGACCGGAAATCTTTAGTAAGTAATGGGGTAGAACGGGAGAAGATGGGATTATCATACGAATAGAAAAACTGAATATAAATAAAATCAATCACAAATGTGGTTAGTCGAGTGTATTGCACATCAGAAAGTCCCTCATGAGTTTGATATTCATATAGTTGCACATGGATCATCGAAATTCCTTTACTCTTCATATCTGCCAGTGGCAACAATACGTGGTAATAGCGATAGAATTACATTCTACTTGTGAAACCAACTAGATCTAATTCAATCTAAATGATAAACTGTAAAGACATTGAATAGATCTCTATCAGAAATGAATCTTATTCTCCTTCAGTGTAGTAGACTTGGCTGACGAACGGTCAGAAACAAAAGAACGCCTATTCTTGGATGACTCAGTACATTCTTACAATAGGCGCAAATCATACGATCGATTGGAATTTCCAACTCCAGGTAGGCTAATGGATAAATGCACAATGGATGTGCACGGAATGTGAACGTAGTGCAAAAAATTGCACCATACAGGTTGTTTTGCATGTAGATTATCGACACAGGCAATCACGTAGAAAAAAAATAGGTGGAGCGGAGCCCACAGGGAAAGACGATATGACGAAGCTGTTTCCGAACCAACAATTTGAACGACTGAGTGACAGAACCAAATTACAAGTACGTCACCGTACTTAAAAGTGGGGAATATGTAGCGGTATTTCTCGGATCATTCCGCTTTGCATGGCTAGTGAAAGACAAGCTCAAAAGGTAGCTGAATTGGCTGATCCAAAATTATTTTAATCCTCATGGTAGAGTGTTCGACTTGTTATTTGGTCGAGATTGTGGATTGTGAGTTGTGTGAAATACAGATTCTTATTCAAAGAAACTGTCACCTCATACTGGAAGCTTTTGGGAAAAATCAATATGACTGATGCTGACTGACAACCTGTGGAATAACTGAAACCTTTGGACAAGTTGCATATCACGAGAGAGGAACAAAGCTACCAACGGACAAACATGCCATTGAGGAAACCGGTGATTCCAAAACTGAAACAAAGAACAGTATCCTGTTGTTGTGCTCAGTTTAGTTAGCAATTTGATCGAAAAGACAACTGGTGCGATATTGTTTGCACAGGGGCTAGAATGCTGAAGCACTCGACCTATTCGGCCCGACCGACCCCCCGTAGTTGTCACTATCCAGCACCATCTACAGTCAAAAAATAAGTCAATGAGAGAGATGGGTTTTTTCGGTTGTGTGAAAGTGCGTGATTTTCAATCAAGCCTGATCATTTTATCACACAAATTACCTGTTTAGTCCAGCGGCTCTCAGCGTTCCCGGTATCAGGAGTCCTGCATGCACGATCGCAGATTTTATAGATGTAAATATGTTCACATGTGCAGCAGAATCTTTTTTCATCTTCTGTTTTCCCTTTTTCGAACATGCTCATCTTTCTAAGTTGGGAAATCACTAATCGATCCACAGAGGCCATCTCTCATTACACAACGGGCACCGAAAGGGCGTTCTTCTAACAAGTCAGAGCCCCGGAACATATCTGATAATCAGAGCTTTGACAAGTAAAATGGTGAACTCATTAAAATCACAGTATGAAACATTCAGTTCCGGTTGCCTGACTTTGACCGGATACGAATCAGTGAAGGCTCAGTGATGGTGTCTAAACGTCAAGTCGCCGCATGACCAGTTTCACTTTTATGCTAAACTGATTGAAACAATCACAGACTGGATATGCGCAATACAAAAACTGGTTTCTATTATGTGAACGTAGGCAAAATTACGGTTCAGGCAGTTTGAAGGGGGGGGGGCGGATCAAATTGGTTGTCTCCTTTCGTTTCTGAAATGGAAACCAGTTTAATGCGGAACTGAATGGATGTTTTCAATGTGATGGCTTTCCGCAGTACGCCTCAAGCTCCATGCGTCTGCACAACAGATCCCCTGTATTAGACCAGTGAAAACGTGAAAACAGTGAAACATCACTATTGATTGTCCGACCGAGGATGGGGGAGGGGCACAGGCTGTAAAACAGTCTCCGTTATCAAGATCGAATCACCCACAGAATCAGGTGAAAGCATGAATAGGATTAAAATGACAACAATCGTAACGCAGGGTGCTCCTCTGGACTTACCACAGGCTGAATCGGGGCTACCAGTGTGCCCCGATGTAAACCAATCCAGTCGAAGCCTTGGAAGTATCTAGATAGGTGAATTGGATGAGACACGGCGATTAGAAAAGTGACGTC